AAATAAAGCTCACAAAGTAAGCTTGCCTATGCTTTCTTGGTTTGATTACGAGGCGAATTCAAAATTCTGGCCTCTCAGTTTTGCTGCTTGTTCATTATATCTCTATAAGTCATCACGTTATAGCCTAGCCTTGGCTGTGACTTGACACAATGACCGCCGAACGCAATTTCTGCTGCAAAAAATGGCATCCTACTTCGCAACCTCTAGTCAATGACAGCACGAAACTAATTTTTAACAGAGGAAAAAAAAAGTAAACTCAAACGTTTGGTCACCTCCGTAGAGACTGCTCTTCTACAAAAAAAAAAAATAAAGGAATTAAATTTTTGAGGGTGCGTTTTTTTTTTTTGTTGGACACAACTTTAAAAGCAGCGATAATGAAGCCAACGAAGGTAAAAGTAACGTTAATTGTACCGTATTTAAGTGTGCTGTAGTCAAAGTTTCTGTCTCTGCCAATGGAAAGTTCTTTTGAATGCGAAGCATTTCTTAGCGAACTTCGGCGACATTGACCGTATCTATCTATCTATCTATCTATCTATCTATCTATCTATCTATCTATCTATCTATCTATCTATCTATCTATCTATCTATCTATCTATCTATCTATCTATCTATCTATCTATCTATCTATCGGACGGATGGACGGCGCACTTGATCATATATTGCACTGTCGTATCGTTTATCACACATAGAGTCGGTTGATTAGATATATGTTTTTGTTTTTTTTTAGTTGTGCAGGTGTTCAGTTTGGGTTTCGGTTTTGTGGGGCGTGAAGGACGGCAACTATAGGTCAGCCCTAAGGAGCTTCGCCCCGATAAGCTGGCATCGGCAGCGTTGACGCAACGAATGCATAGAATAAATGGCCCAGCAGGAATCGAACCCCCAGCATTCTGCGTGGCAGTCAGGTATTCTCCACAGAGCCACACCAGGTCTCGGACCTGGTTTTCAAGTACACAGCAATGTTCGTGAAACGTCTGTTGTGGTTGCAGTGCTGGCTATCTAATCAAGGAAACAGTACATATACGAACTCCTATCTTACAGCCGTCCCGTTAGGTTAACGACAGTTGTAGGAAAAAGCCATCCAAAGAAGCTCATTTATCTAGCAGTGTCCAGGGCTGCCATCCTCGCTGGCACAAGCACTACACATCAGCTTACTGCTTGTGGTGTTATTAGCCGCGTTGCTGTTGGCATCGTTAGCAAATACACGACTGTTCACATGTCTGTGCGTTTGTACATATATTCAGCGTCATTTTGTGACGTCTCGCTCAATAAAAAAAAAATTACAACACAGTCACCTTCCCTCCACATGCTTCGCACAACATCGATTCCCAAGGTACGTGGGATGGGCCAATTTTTTTCCAATCTATATCACACTTATTACAATACACACAAAATAGTACACTTAATGCTCCATTTCGCCTTCCTTGTCTTCATTACCACTCGGTTTTCATTAAGGTTCATCTATATCAACTAGTTTTCATTTCTGTTCTCCCCTCACCGAGACGACAGCACCCTCGCGAAACAAAGCAATCACTTAGGAAGGTCTGTGTCAGCCGAAGTAAAGGCACCATGTGTGAACAAGAGAACGCTGGTATTGTGGTCACTGATTGATTCGACTCACGGCATACGCTGAACTGGCTTCTCTGCCGCCCGCTGCTTCCGCTCAATATAGGACGCGCAAACGAGACCGCTAATGTTCGAAGACGTTCTTCCTTTGAGTGGCCCCGGCCAGTGTTAGCGAGCTCGCACAGAGAACGTGTTCTCAGCGCAGCGAAAAATATGCACACCCACGAGTGTGTCGCCACCGACGCTTCTTTGCCACGTTTGATCGGGAAGAGAGAAAAGGCGTTCGCGACTCATCAGACTGATCAGCTTAATGCGATTGCCCAACAGTTGAGCGGCGGGTCTCGGCAGGCAACCGGCAAAAAAAAAAAAAAAAGCGCTTGCGAAAAACCGACCGCCCAAGCATGACTGGCGCCGGCATATACGGTATGGCGCTGGAGTAATTGCCCAACTGCCTCCGCCAGCTTGACACCGTTTACAATGCAGAGCCGGCTCGCATAGACCGGATGTACGCCCAGCGTATAGTGCACGAAGCACGTGGGCGCGCCCCGGTGTGTCGTCCTGATTTTCCATGGCAAACGCTGCACTGTCCTCGCACGGGCGACCGTTCCGCGTTACCACGCATTTTTCTTTTGTATATCACAAAGCATTCGTTTGCTTTGAAAATTAGGTTTCACGGCCGAAACTCACAAAGCTATGTATATTCTCGCCCAACAAAAGGTATTTATTTGACTGTATGCATATTTTAACAGTGTAAAGTAACCACAAAACGCTTTAGACCTCGGAACTGGCAGAAAAAAAAACGAGACTTTTTATTTAGTGACTGGTAGATTTGGAAAGGTAGCTCTACCCCTCTTTCTCTGCCAGGAGGGAACCTTCAATGTGACCCTGCATTCAGTCAGGATGTACTTCTGGCTGAGTGCAGAAGCTGCGAATAAATTTTGGGCAAATAACTCTCCGTATATATGTTTTTTACCAAATGGTTTGACATGCGGTACACAGACGTGTACAGTCTATTGTTACCGAAGGTGTATACACCAATCTTTCTATTTGGAGCATATGCGAGGGCATATATAATATGTGGCGATATTTTAATCGTGAAAAACTAATAAAAACAAGAAAAAAACATTCACCGTTTGATGTACCGTTGAGTGTTTTTCTATGCGCAACGCTAACAGCTGCGTCTATGCCAAGAGGGCATTGGGTACAACACGGGAAATACAAGGTGAACATTCACCGCCATTCAAAGACGATGAACGAGACGCGCCTTGCCGTTGGAGTAATTACATTGGCCGCATGAAAGTTCAACGCGCGCGCTTTTCGCCACTGTAGGACGAGTACGCTGCAAATCTTGTGCGGAGGAAAAAAAAAAACGAATGCAATACCTCGCTGACGGCGAGCGCATACCTTGTACAAAACATGTATACACACACGACAGAGAGCAAAGCGAACGCGACTGGCTTTCCCAGCGATGCTCTATAAAGGCGGAAGCCGCAGGGGCGTGGCACTGCGCGAGTGTCTCGACGGGAAGAGCGTCCTTGTAGCGACCTTGGCCGCACATTGCGGGGAAATCGCTAGAGACTCGGCGCCGTACCATGCGGCAGGCGCCGGACCGTGACCGCATCGTTTGCAGGTCTGTTCCGCGTGCGGAAAGTGAACAGCTGCCGCTGCATCCCATAAAAGTCCGCCATTCAGGAAACGCCGGCAACGCGCGCGCTCTCCCGCCGAGTCGCACGCGTGGTGCAGCTGCAGGCGCTCCGCCGCAATCGCGGCTGCATCGGCTCTCCTCAACCCGGCCTCCGCAGCTCGTCTGCGGTAACGTCAAGGTTCACGGGAAGCCCCGTTCTGGCGTTTGCGCCCGCTAAATCAGGCCGTTCGTCGGCGCTATACGCCGGCGTGATGTCGATCGTGCGCAACATTATTGTTGAGCGACCCGCCGTTTCCTTTTTGCATAACCGTACACAAAAAGGGGGGCGTCAATGCCGGTCCCGCGTATCATACTGGCACCCTTTTGTATTCCCAATATAACCGCAGGGCACAGAAGAAGCCCAGCACTGGTATAGAGGCTAAAACGGAGGTTTCGTTCGCGTGCACGAGAAATTCTGGCGATGGTTCGCCACATCAACTTTCGCGATTAAGCATCGCACAAGTATCGGCTAGACCCAACAGGTTGAATTAGCGTACAAACACAGTGCACAAAGAAGTCCGAACGCTAGAAAACTTCGTAAAAGACCGGCAGTTCAGAATGTACGGCGACCAGCCAACGGCAAACTGTTTCGTTAAATATATATATATATATATATATATATATATATATATATATATAATATATATATATATATATATATATATATATATGTGTGTGTGTGTGTGTGTGTGTGTGTGTGTGTGTGTGTGTGTGTGTGTGTGTGTGTGTGTGTGTGTGTGTGTGTGTGTGTGTGTGTGTGTGTGTGTGTGTGTGTGATACCCAGCCAACAGCGGTTCAACTCTCACCACGAAGTACGGTTTTAATAGGATCTCGCCAGGAGAAAATAATAGAATCTGGAGTTTTACATTCGGAAACCCCGATATGATTATGAGAGACGCTGTAGTGAAGGGTTCAGGAAATTTCGACCATCTGGTGTTCCTTGACGTGCACTCACACCACACAATACACGGACCTCTACAATTTTTCCCACATCGAAATGAGACCGCAGCAGCGGGGATCGAACACCAGACCTTTGGGTCAGCAGACGAGCACTGCAGCCACTGTTCCACCGTGGCGGACAACTCACCAAGAGACTATGGGATCAATAACGCAACGTCCTGAATATCTGCATAGTTGTCGAAAGCAAGGCGCGGGTGGACGGTAAACTTCATATATGTCGAAATTTGTCGTGTTTTCGTGCGCATAGATTATATTAATGTTTACTGAGCTGTCATAAGAAACGCCGAGACACGGGAAATAGTAAGTACCTTCAATTTTCACGCTGTCACTTTTTTGCCCTCATTATTGGTTTTGTTCTTGTGACATGAAAAAGAGCCCATACTATGAGTTCTATTATCAATTTCTCCTTTTCACTTTATTCCGTGCTGTGTGTGGCCATACACAAAGAGCAAAGGTGTGAAGAAAACGTCAATAATGCACATACGGGGAGCTGCTTTTTAAAGCAAACTCCGGTTTGCAACAGCGCGGTGGAGTGATAAAATGCGATAAGGTCAGTACCTAAGACAGAACGCACAGTTTAGTAACTGAGGCTTGTTTCACTCTGCTTTCCCGCAACGAAATCAAATGTCGCGGTATTTGCTGTATCGGTAGCACGAGACAGCAAATCAAGCTTTTAAGACCATTAATGCATGTTTCCTTTATGAACAGTGCATGTGCAAGGTTTCCGGCCGAAGTGTGCTCCGACTGAGCGTATAACATCCGAGGCGTCAGCCCAAACAACAGCAGCGCTTACCGCAGAGGGCATCATCTGGCTCAGAATGGAACGGAACAGCAGGACTGCCAGCCAACGGAGGAACAAGTAGAGCGACGGGTCGCACTGGTCGCCGTGCGATGCGAGCAGCCGGATGAAGCAGCCGATCCAAGTTTCACGGCTCGGGCGAGTCGCTGGATCGCCGGGTCCCATTCAACCAAAGCAATGCTGGCACAGCCGTTTCTCCATATCGCCGCTCGTTTACACACGTCGTTGGGGCACAGTCTGCGACGAGGCACGGGCGCCCAAACTTACTCACACACTCGGCACCGCTGACTTGACCGCCCTCAGTATCGGGCGCGTAGCGTATAGTTTTCTCCTTATTAATGCCGGCCCGCGGTGCACCCGACACGGTCGTCGAAGAAAGCCGTCAAATTTGCACCGCGTGCCTAACCTGTTATGCAGATTCCATTCAGCTAACCACACAGCCTCCTCTGTTTTTTTTCCCTCTCGCCTTCAGCAACGTCGCCGTTGCACAAACTTGGAGCCGCTCTTACTTGTTTGCAGACCTCCAGAGGGGGTGCGTTCCTCGGCGACGCAATGCGAAAGATAAGCGCCGCTGTTACGTTGCAGACGGAGGGCGAAGCGTCGAGAGCTCTCGGCTGAGGCAGGCACAGATATGCTCGTAATCGGGTCAAAGCAACACGGTTCGTGGTGTGCGCAGACGCCGGTTAAGGATCCCGTTGGTCGTGGAACGGCGTCCTCATCCCGCCGAGGTGCGACCGCCGGAGGAGGCTTGCGCCGGGCGCGTACGCGGTCAGTGACATGTGGGCGCCCACACCGCGGTACTTGTGACGGGAGGGAAGGCCGACATGTCGACGCCCGCACAGCTGCTGTGAAGAGTCGAAGCAGCGCCTTGTGCGCTCCGCGTGAACGACTTGGAGTGATCGTTGACTATTGTCTCCACGGCTGCCCTTGACAGGCATCTGACAGCCGCTAGGGACGCTCACCTGAGCGGGTTGCAGCGATAGTTGCTCTTTCGACGACAACGGCGGCTACAAACAGCATTAATCACACGCCTGTGTAGTCAAAACAGACCAATTTCCTCCTTGCCCCACCCCCCGCGATGCCGACGCCGAATCGAGCTGACCAAGCATGCAAGAAAGCGCACCCGTTCCGCTCCGCCAGCTCGCAGCCCGTACTAAGACCGGATCTGTGTACATACGTAAACAGGATAGTTACGCTAACACACTCTGACAACCAGTGTTACGTGCATCGACTCTCTCCATGTGGGCTATTCCCGGATGACTGGCTTCGCAATATCATCCGCAAGAATCCCTCTGGTATTTTGAAAGCACGTTCGCAAGCGACATGCAAGTACATGCACGGTACACGCGCAGGAATAACAGCCCGCAAGCTTCCCTCTCTATCTCGCTCTCGCACATATGTACACACACGATGGTGACATCGACCACGCGTCACTGAACCAGGCACACAATGAGTAATATAAATTGTACCAGATTTGTCTTTCTCATAGCCTGTCCACATAACCGAGCAAGCAAGAGCAAATATCATGGGCCACGTGCGGAAGGGCGTCCCTCCCCGGCCGAGACCTACCTGCCAAAGGGACTTGGGCCTGCTGGGGGCCCGTGGCGCCGTAGAGACGCCTGCGTCGTCGGTCTTCTCGACAGCCATCGCTACTCGCACAGCCACTCGGTCACGGTGGTTCAGCGGCCGCCCGCAGAGCACCGGCTACCTGCCAAGCGGGCCGCGAGCTTCGTCTTTCTGTGCTTTCCATAACGCGACTTCTCGCTGTCCTCGGCATATGGAATAGGCGTCACACCCTTCATTTCTTGCTTCTCTCTCTTGGTAGCTTTATTTATTTATTTATTATTTTTTTCGGGGTCCTTCTACGAACTTGTCTGCTCGCAGTCAGCAGTACGTGCACAGATATACTCTGCTAACTCATGTTTCCCTTATCGTTCGAACAAGAAGAGCAAATAGATTTGCTTCGGTTATCCTCTTCCTACCCTCCTCTATGCTGCTTTGTTAGTGAAGAGCTGCGACAACATTTCGCGTAGCGGAGCAAAAAAAATAAATGTATGCGTCAGAGCTAACGACGTAACAGTTTCTCTTTCGATGGAAGACAATAAACGGCTTTGCACGAAACGCTTCGCTGTCCAGCGAAGTTTTCAAACCACAGTGAACAGCGAAGTGAAACAAAACGGTGTACTTCACTTTTTCTTTCTTCTCTTTGTCGAAACAAGTTGTTCTATAACATAACTTGTTTGAAGCTCACTAAAGTTTAAGATGCATATATTTATGAAGAAAAAAAAACATATCCGAAGTATATCCAGAAATCTGGGTCTAAGTATTCACCAAGCTTTGCAGCCAATCATAGCTTTCTCTCATAAAAGAGAATATTTGCGGTTGTTGGTGCTGGACACCTAACTTTCCAAAAAAAGAAAACAAAGAAGGAAACAAACAAATAAAAGGGAGAAAAATACAAGCAAACAAATGGAATAAAGAAGCGACACAAAATACGGCATGCTAAACATGAAAGAACCAACTAGCACCATACGATCTCGTCCGGCTTTCAAGAGCTGCATCTGTCTTTCTTATAGGCGCGATTTCTGTAACCAACCATCCAATTCCTGGTAGTTTAAACAATTTCAAAAATAATATAACTAGCGATCTACAGCTCATTACCTTCACCTAAACATGTGCAAGTTGCTGTATCAATAGAAAAAAGAAAGCATATTATCTTCGTCGCAACTCATTGCTGTCATCCTTAATGAAAGACAAGCCTCCATAACTATCACCTACCCTTCGCGAAAACACCAAAACAAGGCCCCAACCCAAAATAGTTTTAACGCCCACTTCATCTTTTTACTTCAAACTCGGGATCATAGATAAGAGGAAACTTGAAACACGTATGCGATCCGATGAGATATTTTTCACTTGATGACGTAGTCTACGAGGTTTGCAGAGTATGGCCGATATTTATAAGGGTATAGGGAACTACGACAGGCACCACGACAAGGACACAAAAAAGAGAGACGCACACACACACAGTGCTAACTTGCAACTGAATAGTTGCAAGTTAGCGCTGTGTGTGTGCGTGCGTCTCTCTTTTTTGTGTCCTTTTTGTGGTGCGCTATACCCTTATAAATGATGAACCCAAACCAACTAGCCCGGCAACGTGTCTTTGCAAATATGGCCGATAATATCACTACAACGTATGGTACAGAAATCTGCCGATCGCAAAAATTAAATAAAATAAAAAGGAACGATAGAAAACTAAATTACACTCAGCTGTTCACTAGAGGAGTGCCAGCGCCGCTGAAGGAAATGTACGCAAGAACAGGAAACGAAACCAGAAGGTATACAAAGCTTTACGAATCTTCAGCAATACAAAGCCGTTGAGAAGTGGAATGCTTCATAGAGCTGCAGCTAGTCCAGATTCGTAGTAAAATGGCAAGTGTCCTTTAGTACTGCAGCATACAGTGTCAATTTTTATGAAATTGGCAGCTGCTGGCAGTACGTTCCAGCGAGAGCGAGAGTAACGGATGGATATGGCTGTACCCTTTAGATCAGGCGGTGGCTAGCGCCACCAAGCCGTAATACTTAATGAACCAAAAACTAGATTTATTTATTTTTCCTTTAAATAGTGAGGTTGAGGATTCGTACTTTGCAGTGAAGGGTTTAATTTTCACTCGTGCCTTGACTTTAGCCACCAATAAGATAACCTCCTTCTAGTTAATTATACCCGCTTAAAGTCTATTTTGCCCTCCCTGTCCCTAAACCCCACTGCTTTGAAAAACTCAGCGCCATCATCCTGAACTATAGGGTGAAGCCCTTTACAGAACATTATCAAGTGTTCGGCCGTTTCTTCTTCCTCTCCCCACGCACTGCATACCGTGTCTACCCCTTGCGACCCCCTCCCCCTTCAAGGCGATTACCGGCTCTCGCGTAGTCACCTTGAAAAGGGAGGGGGTTGCAATCTTGCCGCTGGTTCCATATCACCAATGACTGCTTGTTTTGCTCGCCGCGAGATGACGCGAGAAGAGACATGATGATTTGGTTTAACGTCCCAAAACCACTATATGATTATGAGAGACGCCGTAGTAGAGAGCTCTGGAAATTTCGAACACCTGAGGCTCTTTAGCGTGCACCCAAATCTGAGCACACGGGCCTACAACGTTTCCGCCTCCATCGGAAATGCAGCCGCCGCAGCCGGGATTCGAACCCACGCCCTGCGGGTCAGCAGCCGAGTACCTTAGCCACTAGACCACCGCGGCGGGGCATGCGAGAAGAGACAGTGGTTGCTGTCGCTCCCACTTGAACGCGCTGCCAGCAGCCGCCGGAGCGCGTAGGCCACGCGCTCCCGTGTTCCCTTTCATAAAAATTGACAGTGTACATCCAGTGATGACAGACAAGAAAGCAATTAAGGCCAAGAAAATGCGTCGTCTTGCCTTCTTTCGATTTATAGAGCGTAATCTAGGGCTGTACACAGCAGAAATCACCAACCACTAACCAGCTACTAACCGAGACTTATGCCCCGCCTAAATGACGCTAAGAACGCTAAGCTACTCGCTCTTAAAGAAACATTATATTCCTGCATGTACTGCCGCTGCACGTGACACCGCTCCTTCAGACGCCAGCACAGGATGGTAACGAGAGACTGAAGAAAAGAAGGGTGTGAAGCCTATTTCAGAACAAGTTCATTTTATACGTCATCACATAAACTAATACTCGCAATGAGACGTGGTTGAAATAACTGTCCCGCGAACAAGCTAATTATGCAGCAGCCGAATTCGCCGTTTCAAAAGAGAGAAAAAAGCGAGAGCATAAGAAACCGGAATAAAAAAAAAATACTTCGAAATTATTCGTAGTTTTTTTTTTTCGCACGTATATTGTGCATGCAATCGCAGTTCAGATCGCCGTTGGCTGCCACAGTCTCGTTCAGAAATTGTGAGACTATACGATAAACGAAGGCGAGCGCTTTAAATAGCCGGACTAACTCAAAAGAAGTCTAGAACCTTTAAACGTGTGTGCTCGTAAAAGTACACACGAAAGAAGGAAAAAAAAGGATACCGTCCCTGTTAAAAATCTATAAGCACTCACGTAACCACTCTGCTGCTGCAGTGTAAACGTACGCACCTCTCAACAGCCCTGGAAAGTTGCCTAGTTGTCGCCGCAGCGGGAGTCGTCAGCGGGACGGCTGCGCTAGCTCAGGACATCATGCAGCCGCCCTCGGCGCGGTACACGGACGAAAAACGAGTGGAATGCACAAACCCCAGATCTGTCTCGCGAGGGATGCGGAACGGGGCGCGTCTGAAAGAGTGGCTGGGACAGCCCGGCTCTTGGGCACGGGTCGTTGAAGGGCGAGGGGGGGTCAGGCGACGGAGCGCGTGTTAAGACCCCGTGGAGGAAGAAGAGAACGGGGGGTCGCAGCGTAGCGGCGGCCCGTCAGCGTCGCTGGAGCACCGCCGCTGCTGCGTCTGCGAAGCCCAACACGACGCGTTGCCATGGTGACCGTTCGCCAGACCGGCGCCCGTCGGGGCCATAGGGAAGCGAAAGGGAGAGGCAGCGGAGGCCGCAACTAAGAAGTTCGGGATAGAGACGCAGCCGCGGGACCCCTGCGCGCCATCTGCCCCGCACCGCAGTCACCCTCCCCCTTTCTGTCTAACGATGATGCGCAAGCCCCGGCCAGAATTTTTCGCTGCCACATCGTAGCAGCGATGGCGCGCACTCACTTCTGGCTGCGACCCATTTTTTCAGTAAACCGTTCCTACTAGTATCGCTGATACCTAAGGACGAGGCGTCATCTAAAAGGACCGAGCAACTAGTGACACGTTGTCACTGAAT